GCCCTGTTCTCCACACCCTATGGTCGTATGTACTAGTTTTTAAGCTAAATGAAACTATCAGTGACACTAATACTATCTTTTTAGTAGTTATGCTGAGATATCTAGAGGAGACCACCAGTGGTCCCGACGAGGGCTGTGAAGCATTAGGAGGGTCGATTTCAGGCTGTGGTGCGTAGCTTAACCTCATATTTTTTCAACCCAACTTGGACTCTGTGCGAGGTGGGCATAGTATAGTAGTATCCAATGGATCAAGAATGCAAATCGTCGCGAGATGGTTGTGACAGGGCAACGTTGCATGATAGGGAACCAGGTTATGCTCTCCAGAATACACGACAACTGAGGATGAGCTGATTACGGGCATCGCTGATGCAACCCTAGGCTTACGGCCGATCTCTGCTTATAGGCAGATGCCGCCATCCGAGGAGATAACTCGGACCTATTAGCCAATACATCTACTGTGCTACCGCTAGTTATAACGATAATAAAGAACGTATAGCTGACTGAATTAAGTATGCCGATCATGTGCACCCACAGCCCATTCGCAACCGACTGATTAACAAAACCCTTGGTTGTGGAGCAGTAAACGAAAGTCCTTCGGATATCAATTCTTGATATGTAGACAAAGAGGCCCCAGCGCAAATGTGGAGCTATGGATTAATTGAGACAAGCACAATCTAGGCGAAGCACCTGTTGACACATACATAGGGAACGCGCCCTCAAAACCTGGGGTTGTCCTTCTTTTGTTCTTCCTCCACGAAAGAGCGAAATTTAGCCTCCTCTTCTGGCGACACCCACACATCCCTTCCGAGATCGCGATGCATCTGATTGAAATACTCGCACATTTCACCCTGCGACTTGCTGGTCTTGCAAACAACTGTCATCGAGTAGGGGCTGCCGTTGATACTTTCGATTGTATAGGCCTTTTGTTTAACGTGCTCGGCAATAGCAAGAAGCACTTCGTCGATAGTAGCACAAAAGCTGGCACTACATTTCCGAAAGCTTGACCCAATATCAAGATTAACCCAGATTGTCTGTACCGAGGGAGGGCCGGAGTAACAGGGAATTTCTCCGGCTTCTTCTATTTCACCTGTATTCGGATTTTTGAACTTTCCATCCACTATTGGAACTCGGTGCTCAGGATGCCAGTCCACCATGTACTTCATTTTCGCTGAGGTCGTGTTCCAGGCTGCAGCTTAATAATGGATATAATAGCATGAGATGAGTGGGGAGGAAAACAAAGGGGTGGGAAAATTGGGGGCAAACATGGAAAAGATGGGAAGGAGGAAGGTAAGAGAGCGAGAGGACTAGAGAGAGGGGTAGAAATTGACAAAATCACGCATTACGTGAGGGTTCAAGCATTCGGCCCAATTGCCATCTTTCATTAATGCAGCTATCTACAGGGATAATCGCCTGGTTTGGTGGCTCAACAGGAATGCAGTCCAAAAAGGGCTCCCAAAGTGGGTCGAGCTAGGCTCATGAGTTGTCGGAAACTTCATCGCCAAGTATATGCGGCTCTATACCCTGTATACCGAGTGTCCAGGCTGTTGGATGGAATATGATATTAAGTAATACATACAACTCTACAGTTACATTGCTTAACACCCTAGCTACCGGCGGCAAAATTCGGAGGGGGTCTTCCGTAGCGGGGAGATTATGAGAGGAGAATCAAAAGAACAGCTGAGATGAGGTATAAATAGTACTTGCAAGGACATCTCAAGAAGTGCCATCCTTCCCAAATTATGGGCACCGAAGATGATGCATGGGTTTCTGGATCTGATTGGCCTAGATGGAAGCGCTGATGTTCTTCATCCCTTCATGATGAACTGCAAAGTGTTGCATTTAGTGGCAGTCAGGGTGTCGCCCACATCAAAGGCGATATGTCTCAATCTGAGGTCGGACATACTTTTGAAGCTACCGTGGAGGCGTACAAGGACCGGCTTCAGATGCTGAAAGGCTTCACAGACGCAGACTGGGGTGGATGTCGCGAGACAAGACGATCAACGGCTGGGTAACTCTTCAACATCGGGAGATCTGCCGGTAACTCGAACAGTTCTTCAACGACATCAGCTACACCGATAGCCGTGTTGAGAAAGATATATGGTAAATCCCGATGGGTACAAGATGTGGCAATTTACCAAGCCTCTCCAGTTTCCCAGATAAAGCAAAAGAAATAGCAGGGGGATACATCTCGACTATGGGCTAGAGGTAAGATTGTTCTGTTTGTAAATATGATTGATAAAATTTAGAGATCGAACTCTGAATGCCTGTGAAGCGTACATCGGAGTCTAACTTGGTCGCACTTAAACCCCTCATCGACTTCTTTACAGAAGATTGGTGTTTTTATTATAGTAAATTGAGTACTGAGATGAATAATATCTTATACACAACGAAGAGGAGTGGCTGTGGCGAGGTTCTAAGAGCTGGAAGAGGAGCATTGACTCGCAGGCACATTTCTTCATGGTATGCACGAATTTCAGTCCCAGTGGGTCATCATATTATTTGTCGAACGACTGTCCACTGTAACTGTGGTTGCCTCGATGCAGCGATTACCCCCTTTCCCGATTGATATGAATCGGTGATACAGAAAGAAGATCTCTCATCGGCAAATCAAGAAAAATGGGATGATTTTGAACCAAGCCCTATCTTCAGATCCCAGAAGCCCCTTAGTAGGTCAAACAAACCCGTTGCAACTCTCTCGAACCGGACGGGTCGAGGCCGAAAGTTATAGGACCATTAAATACTGTTCTACCCGGCAGTGTGGCGCCGTTTAAGCACCAAAATAGAAGGGATTTAAATAACGTTTGTTGTAGTCCTCCATATTAAAAGTCTGGAAAGTAAGAGAAGCCGAAACTTGGAGATCCTAGCTAATTCCACCTGTCAGTGAGAGCTCCGCCTGCAAGGAATGCCTGTAGCGCAGCATTCCCTTTATGGTATAGCCGGAGGTATAAGCAAATGGAAGGGCATTCGACTCTAGCTCTGAGTTCAATCCACCATATACTGCGACTCGCTTTGCGGTACCATAGATACAGCAACAAAAGCGCCACAGCATCCCTTTTCCGGAGCAAGTCTTCAAAAGGGCCATCGATACTGCGCGTGAAGAGTTGAGTTTGCCCTGTTGTGACCTCACTATCTGGCAGGTTCAGAATCTGAGATAATGCGTGCGCGGCATCGAAATACGGGTTATTGTTCGCTGTAGATGAGTCGTTGAGGAGACATATGGCAACCAAAGCCCTCGGTATTCCGTCTATACCCCTCTCTGGTAAGGGTGCCTGCATCTCTGAAAAAGTCGCGGCCATAACCCGGAAGAGACTATCCGGTCGTAGCGGGTTCACTATGGGCCACAGGGACATTTTACTTTTGCTCATACGTACCCAGTCCAAAGCAGAGTGGTCAGAGGACTTTAAAGGCCATGATTCTTCTGGAGTGTGTGCATCAGGGGACGAGAAGCTCAATATAGCCAGCGCAGCGGCGGTGCCCCAGATTGGATCCTTATCTTTCGCTTCAATTGGCGCCCTTAACCGTTGGTTGAGAAGAGCTGTGCTTTGAGACCAGTGGTAGCACTCCTCTAGACTGCGACGAGCGCCTGGGCTATTCAGATGGCGGTCATATGTAAGTGACACAGCTATAGACGCGTGCATTAGAAAAGGGTACTGTTTGCGATGTGTTAGTCGAGCCTAGGCCGATCAGATGTAGTCCCTGAGGTGACAGAATTAATATAATAATACCTACGGCGAAGGCTAGTCTCAGGAGCTTGCGATTAACGTGTACCAGATTAGGGTCGCCCGGGATAGTAAGACTTCGTCCATAATACCGGGTGATGAAATCTTGACACCTTGCATTCAACTGATAGGTCGTGGATTCATCAGACGTCCAGACAGAGCTAGAGACCGGGGGTCGAAGCTCCGCTTTTCCTCGAACCACCAATGGCCTCCCTGCGTCAGCGGTGGTGGGTTGTAAGTCGGGGATATTAGACATGTAGTTGCATAGTACCCCAAATGAACTACATCTCTTGCAGTGTGGTTTGGCTTCGTCGCACTAAGAGGCAAGGAAATCAACCTGTTCAGCCAAGCACTAGTCGAGGAAAAGCCACACTGACCTTGAGCTTTCTGAGCTTGCAATTTCGGCAACCAAATCTCGACCTCCGCCGAGTCCTACGCTCTCGAACCTCCATAGTTGGTGGATCAATATACTCCTGTGAGGGTTTAATGGCTTCAAAGGATTCAATTGAGTCAATGGAAGGACATTAGTGCCATACGCTAACCTCTTTTTAAAACCACGCTAGCTTTGCCTCGGATGCAGAGGACTCTGATTGGCTGCGAGCATCTATAGACAACCGAAGGTCAAGTCATCACTCCGTCCAAGACTAGTATAAGATGAAGGCCATTCCCCAGGATCCTGCATCCGAACCATGAAACCTTGACTTAAAAGCCTCTACTTACACAAAACTCCAAATGGCCACCCACCTCGCCGCGGTCTCCCCAGCCAAAGGCCAGCCCTTTGAAATCCGAGCCCGCCCTACCCCAAAGCCAGGGCCAGACGAGCTCCTCATCGCGGTCAAATCTGTAGCCCTCAACCCGGCAGACACCATCATGCGTGACCAGGGTCTTTTCATACCAGCATACCCCACGGTCATTGGCTTCGATATGTCGGGGTTGATCCTGGAGGCCGGCGACAATGTCCCAGTGTCCTTCCGACCGGGTATCACCCGCGTCGCCGCCTACGCCGCTTTGGTCTGGAAATCCTGCGATCCAGACTATGGCCCATTTCAGGAGCGGTGCCTCGTCCCGTGGCAGCATGCGGTGCCCCTTCCGGACGAGGGCATGTCTTGGAACCACGCAGCAACTTTACCCGTCGCCGTGCAGGTACCCCTTAGCGCGTGGGATGCCATGGGTATCCCCCGGGTGGAAGAGGCCCCTGCAAAGAATATTATGGAAAAAACAGAAGCTCTCTTGATATGGGGTGCCTCCTCGAGCGTCGGCACCATGGGTGTCCAAACAGCCCGACTGCTGCGGGAAGATGCCAACTCTTCTTTCGCAGCCGTGTACGCCACAGCCGGATCGGCGAACCTGAGTTATGTAGGTTCATTGGGTGCGGACCGCGTGTTTGACTACAAAGACTCACGAGTTGTGGATGCAATAATCTCGGCGGCCAAGGAGGACCGATTAGTGATCCGGCATTGTTTTCTTGCTACCGGACAGCTGGCGCCATGTCAGGCTGTGCTTAAGACATTTCTCGGAGAAGATCAAGAAGGGAAGAACACTAACACGGCGAAAATTGCCTCAGCACCAGTCGTGCCACAGGATGCGGAAGTCGTGGATGGGGTGGAGACGATGTTTGTGATGCCATCGATGGTAGAAGGAGAGAGACTGGAGCAGTTTCGATACTGGATTGGGACGTGGCTGAGGGAGAACCTGGTCAAGAGGACCATCAGGCCGAGTCCGCAGCCAAGCGTCGTGGGGAAGGGTTTGGGGGTTATCAATGCTGGGTTGGACAAGCTGCGCGAGGGGGTGAGTTGTACGAAGTTGGTTGTTGAGGTTGCGGAGTAATAGTATCACAGGCGTTGAGTCGGGTCACAGAACCATCGGCCTAAAATCGCATTTTTATCGGTGGAGGGTTGTGGTGATATATATCGCTGAGATAGCAATCTAAATCTTGTCGGTAGGGTGACAGCAACGTATAGTGAGCTTCGTATATTATCGATACTATGTTGAAGTTGTATGAAGTTGTATGATCGGATATAGTGAAGATACATATCTATCTACTACACGATTAGTACCACGACATTCACCTCCGATCATAACAAACATAGGGCTAGATCCAAACCAATAAATCGCTCTGGCATGATTGGCGTGCCTGAAGCTTAAGCGGTAGCTTATTCTTGGCGCGGAGAAACTGAAGAATGCAACCGCCGATCAACGCGCCACAGAATTCCCCATCCTAAATTCAACCTCGATGTCGCGCGGACCCAAATCACAATGCCACAAACCGACGAACGTCCCTCATTAAACCCTACCGTCGAGGAGGCAAACGAAGAACTCCATGCAGAACCCCATACGACTGAAAGTACCGCCCCGCGCAATCAAATATCATGGCCGGAGGTGCGCGAACGTTCCCCGCGTCAATGACGCACGATATCCATCATGTCGAGATCGCTAAGGAGTATAAAATTTATTACAGATCTGCGCCCAACATGAGTCCGTTCTGTCGTTACATCTGGAAATGTTGAATACGGTGCGAAACAATGCGTCTAATGGTGACGCGTTGCAAATGGTTGCTGGGATGATTGAGAAGACGAATAGGTTGATGACGCAGTTTCGCGTGGTGAAGAAACAGTTGGTGAGTGAAGGCTTTTTCCTTTTCTTTCCTTTTTCTTCTCTGTGGGAGGGCCTCTTTCACATGCCAATTTCACTCCTTTCTGAGTCGTAATCATGATCATGTATGTATGATGCTAATGTTAGGCAACAGATTTCGAGTACGTATTGTGTTCTGAAGAATCGTTGCTACCGTTGCATGAAGGTAACCGTGTGACAGAACCAGGAAATTTTGGGGCGTCTTCAGAAAAGCCAACTGCTACACCGACGTCTACGTCATCTAGTCGCGACTCGTCAAAACGACGACGCAGCCATTCAAAGGAGCGGAGGAAACGGTCACGAATGGAAACGGACAGTATGGAGGTGGAAAATGAAAGTACAGATACCATGCCTATCGGGGCAGTTCAATATCAGAAGCGCAAACGACTGGACACGATGATGTCGGCTGATGATGAAGATGTGAGGAATGTAACGCCGGTGGCTTTGGAAACAGAGGACATCTCCGAAGAAGTCCAGCGTCGACTGGAAATCAAAGAAGAGCAAAGAAGGAAAAGGAGCTCTAAGCCGGAGAAGAGGAAACGCGACAGTATGGCGTCAACAGGTAGTACTTCTTCCCCCAACGGTATTTCAAAACCGAAGAAAAAGACCAAAACCGAGAGGCCTCAGGGCGGTATTATTGATGTACCATGGGACACTGGCAGGAAGAAGAAAATTTTGAAGCCATTTGACTCTGAGCAAGGGTCTGACGTCGGTTCTTTGGAAGAACAACGAAGAACAAAGCGCCAGAAGCGTAAGTCGGGGACTCCTCCTGTCCTGTGAAACATCATGAGTTTCAACAGACAAGACAAAGGCACTGTGTCAATCCATGCCCCTCTGCTTGCAGTCAGAGATATGCGCTTGGGGATGGACTGTGCTCTTCGAGAAGCATGGCTTACTACAAGCCTATTGTGTATATTCATGAGGCTCAAGTGGAAGGTTTTGGTGCTAAATATAATGAGCCCCCGCGGTTGGTTCCGTGGATACCGGGTGATCACTCCAGGTTCCCCGGATTACCCCAGATTTCCTCTTTTGAAAGTATATACTTGAAATCATATTTTACCAGACAATACCAACACCGTTGCATCCCACTCTCGTCGAAAGGAACCACACATGCTCAATTGAGCAAGAGTGACGTCCGTAGGCACTCTCGTACTTAACACTCGCCTTCTCCCCCCTGACTTTCTTTTCTCCATCTTTCCTGACTCCATTGCTGCTACTGCTACGATCTACTATCCACCATAACAACCCACTTGATTCGTTTGATACCATCTGTCTACCACTTGAACAAGCACGAGAAACGAACGTCGAAGAGTCCAGACGAGTTTAACAACCGATATAGACCTCGACACATCATAAGCACACCACTGAACTAGTAACTTGTAACCGAACACCCAAATCGGAACGTTGCTTTCAAATATCCCCCTCAAAAAAAATCATATCCACACCGCACCTCAAACAAATCTTGAATTACGCTTAAAGTTATATTTTTTTTAACCTTTTTTCCTCACGAAGGAAAGAAAGGGATCCGTTCTTGAGAATAAGTGCGGCCAAGACTAGCAGTGACAACCTGACCTCCTAAAATTGTTATTCACCTGCTCCTTCGTTCCGATCAACTGCCTCTTCACCTGTTAGCTTTTGTTATTCATTCCATTCCCCCCCGAGTTAGCAATAAAATGGCTTTCTTCGGAGAAGGACCCGTCGTATGCCACCCGGGTCACGGCTTCGTACCAACTGTCGGTGCCAATAACTGCACCGGCAGGAGGCCACAGGATACTGGATCTGGCAATAGACGCCGGAACAGGAGACGCAACGAGGTGTCCGAGGTAAGTGGATCTCGTCTGACGATGCTTGATCATTGAGCTAACGATGGCATATAGACAAATCACAGGTCTCGGCCCTCACCCCCCTCTGGCCCCCGTGGTTGCCGCGGAGGTAATAACCACCCTGCCAATGGAAATAACAGAGTACAGAGGCAGGGGCCCCGCCAGCCACAGGGGCCAGGGGGGCAAAACAACAGATTCACCCCTCGGAGAAGTCGACGGGGTCCCGGTCCCCAAGGGAGGGGGCCCCAGCATGGTGGCGCAAACAATGCGCCTAGACACCCGGGTCAACGCCGTGGCCCTAAGCCACGGGTGTCCCGGGATGGCGACACCATCATGCGCGACGCGCCTGCGCTTAACGTGCAGCCGGTGAGGCAGCGCGGCATCTCCAAACCTCGCCTCCCTCCTCAGGGGGACGTGGTGATGGTCGATGTGTTCACTGCGTCCCCACCATCTGAAGTGGAGGACGTGGTGATGCTCGACGTCTTCATCACGTCCCCCTCCGTTGAACAACAATTTGCGGCACTCGCCATTGTGAGTATCACCTTCCTGCGTCCGACTGTGACATATAAAACTAACATATGACAGGCCGCCCCACAATTCGCCCTAAGTACAGGGGAGGAGCCTCAGGACATCGAAATGACTGAGGCCCCTCCCCTGTACTTCTTTTAAATCGACTCTCATGGAAGGCCAGGTAGCCCAAGTCACTGCTTGACGAAAGAAGGGCTGCCTGGCCTCCACAAACATCGACGATCAACCCTCCAAGCACCAGGCTGCCGCGACGCCCAACGCCTACACACACAAACATCAAAGAACAAAAACAGATCAAAATAACAAAACCACCAAAAAAGTGTGCTTTAAACATGCTTCTACGTGGACCACGCAACCAGCTGCTGGCGGCTCCATTGAATTAAAGGGCGCCCCAATGGTAGCGGCCGGGCTGGATATGCCTTCTCTTTTGTTAAATCTTCTACCTTCTTTGCATCAGTTTATGGCAGGCTAGCGGCAGTCATGGTGACAAACAACAAAACATTGATGTCCGAAAAATCGAACAAACCCTCCGAGTCATTCAAGTCATTTCAGTTAAAACAATCTCACTACATGGCTCCCTTATCGACACAACGGACACAATGAGGTAACAGGCGGAGGAATAAAAACGAGGGAAGTGGAGGATAAGGGGGAACCCACATGGCAGACGTGTCATGGGGTTGATGTTTTTTTATAGGGGCATCCATGGCAGACGTGTCGTGGATGTCCCGCCTAGGTGTACAACCTACTCTGTATGGGTAGGTTGGGGAGGACAAAGGGGTTTTATATTGGGGACGTTAGCGTAGACCTAGCTATAAAAGCAGGCTACGCGGGGTAGTTAAAGCAACCTTGTCTTTAAAGACAGGTTGTATTTATTAAAAAGGGGACGTTAAGAGTAACCCAGCCTTTAAAGGCAGGTTACAGTGGAGGTATTAAAGTAGACCTTGTCTTTAAAGACAGGCTACTATTTATTATCAGGGGACGTTAGAGTAGTCTAGCCCATAAAGCAGACTACAGTGGAGGTTTTATGTAACCTTGTCTTTAAAGACAGGCTACATCAGACAGGTAAAAGCGGCCTATATTAAAAGGTCAGCTGGAGGAAATAGAATATAGGGTTTCTTATGTTATGCATCCTGTTCAAGGTTTTTACCTCGTACACTTAAGTCTACGGACGTGGCGAGGATGTTTCCCTTGTTCCAAGGCCCGAATGGCAGGATAGCAATTTCTTTTGTTTTATTTGGTTTTTTTTAGTTTTGAGTTAGAAATGGAGTTTGTTTTTTTCTCCAACATATTCACTGAATACGTAGTGAGCCTGTAGAATCTTGTATAGCAGTCGTAGGTTGTAGATTAGGGCTTGAGCTGGAAGTGACATGCAGGTATATGATCCTAGCATCAAACAAACTGGTCTAAAAGAGTAGGTTACAAAGCCGAAAATTAGATGGTGATGTACAGTTTGCATTAGCTAGCCTGACCTGCTGGTAGAGTGTGCTATATAGTCAATTATCCAGCTTGCTAACAGAAGTCTACAGATAGCTTGTCAAAGTTTTGGATTCCTCCCTGAGCATTATACTAGTGACATACATTGGGCGTTATGCCGAACTGATATGGACAAGATCGTTGATAGAAACAACAAATGGAGGTATTCCCCAATGACTACAACGATAAGAATGGTAGCGGCAATAGGGCTTCTAGACGAACAACGGTAAGCCATCTAAGAATTGCGATATTTACAATCGCAAGTAGCAGATATACCTCCCACAGCCTCCCTAACCCATCCATCAGTGGAGCAACAATGAGCAGAGAAACAGCATGACATGTCATCCATCCCATAATATACATAGTATACAAAGCGCGATCCCTATCCAACGCTCCAAGAAAGTGAACAATGTGAACAATGTGAACCACCAACGCCCATCCCAGATGCAAAACCCAAACAAAACATACTATACAATTTTGAATCCCCGAAACAAGAAACTCACTCCTTCTTGCTCTCCTCCGCATCCTTCTTCCCCCAAGTCCACACATCCCAAATATGCTCCTTGATCAAATCCCCATATCCCTTCCCCGCATCCAACGCCTCCTGCTCCTCACGCAGCCTCCTCTCCTTCCAGCCCTCAGATCCCACACCATCGAACACGTC